GATTAAAAAAAAAACAATAATTGCATTTTTTATTTCAATAACGCATGAGTAAATAGGGATATGAACGCAGATTTAATATAGGCCCATAGAATTACGGGGACCGGCAAGGATTTGGAAAGTCTGAATGCAAGTCCTGCTTACACCTAACAAGTGCTGAAGTGGGACATAACCAGAGGTAGAAAGGTCTCGGAAGCACTTGGGAAGAGGCTTCCCAAGACCTATCCAGTTCTGAACGGAGAGACCTAAGTAGAATTTGTCAGGTCCAATTATTCGACTCGGGGTGATTATTCAACTTCGACAACCCGACGAGTAGAATTTTTGAACTCAGAAATGTGAAGCATCACGTCGGTCCAAAGGTAATGGGACCTCAACTGACTCAATGACCTCAATGACTGAGAACATTTATATTTTTGCTATTACCACCGACACGGGTATATTCATTCGCAAACTCCCTGATGCTTTGCAGAGTTTTCCCCTCTAAATAAGCGAAATTCAGCACATACTCTAATAAACAAGTAGAATATTTTCCCTCCTGAAATAAACACCAATCACCGATAAAGATTTCCTCGAATTCTTTCATAAAATACTTTTTCTCGCTTTGCAAAGGTTTTTTACGTCGATGACTAGTACTTCTCGTTATTTCTTCGTCTCTAACGCGCTGAAGTCGATTAATACTGAGTTTTGAATTATCTTTATTGAACAACCAACATATTGAGGATTTGCGAATTATTGATTCTTGGTCTGAAGTATCTGAAATAAGCACGACATTTGTTTGAGAGTAAGTAAATATAGGATTCTCAGGGAAATCGGATGGCAATGAGTACGGCATTTTATTATTATCGTTGGCAGGCATGTCAATTTTAAAATCACGAATTATTTTTTGAATCATTTCCTTTCCCAGTTAGAATGAGAGAACATTGCTTGAATAAAGGAAGAGTCCAATCGCACCATACGTGTTTCGGAGGAATCGCGAGCTAATATGAACATACAAGCATAATCAAACCATTTTTCGTTATATCTGCACGAAAATTTTCGTCATATCTCCTCGGATTTCTGTTATTTTTGACGATCCTCGGGATGACATAACCCACGTTCCTCTCTGCATTTACGACGAAAAATCGAACTATACCGTGCAGTTATGACGAAAAATAGTATGTGCACCTAGGAAGCACAACAAGACATTCCAACCCGCGTGTTTACAGCACTTGGCTTCGCCTCGGGTAATAATCTACATCCTGGTTGGAATGTCCTGTTTTCCTCCCTTGGTGCACAATCTACTATTCTTAAAACGGCATCACATTATTACAGTATTGAAATGCAAGGTATTTTGAATTTGATTTTTGGATGACGTCGTCGCCGTAAGTTTATTGATCGGTTATATTGCGAATAACAATTCAGTCCATGCAATATATTACAAGAAGCAACCGTTCAATTCATTCTTGCACGGAAAGAAATATTCAATAAAAATTACGTATCTTTTCCGTAATTCCGGAGGGAAATGTGGTTGTAGGAAATTTCACGGAACTGTCACGGAATTTTTCCAGAGCGTTCCGTAATTTTTACCTGAATCTCCCGTAAAAAATTACGATACCGTCACTTAAATTTTCTGAGTCGATTCCGTAATCGTTGAGCGAACTCTGAGTTCCGTAATTTTAACTGAACATTTCTCTCCGCATAATGAAGTGAAGTGAATGACTCGTTCTTATTTCGGTCAATTAAAAGAATTGGAATGATACACAATGCAGAAATAATATATCACATAGACACTTACTTTATTCCGATCTTCCTATCCTTCCTTGACGCACTGCAATTTCGAAATGAGCTGAAAATCGCATGTGGTATAGTTGGTATAGTTGCGCGTGACAGTGCCCTAAAGGAGGGTTGACTACGAGAGGGGCAGAATGACGGGCGAGGGTTTTGTTTTGGAAGGGGGATGAGAGAGAGCAGGAAGCACGCTTGTTTGAGTGCGGAAGAAAGTAATATTTTTGTGGAACCGGGCAAAGGAGCGCAGAGCGTAGTAATGCAAACAATCAATTATGCAATGGATTTTTATGCTAAATCTCTCAATTCATCCTCACAGATTTTATTGCCCGGGTCTTTGCAGCACGTTGATATCCCTCCTTAGTAGCTTAAGGGGCAACGGAACCCGTCGCACGTAGAGGTTTAGGGGTCCCCCCTATCGGTATTGCAGGCTCCCGTGGTTTTTTGATTTTGTACGTGAAAAGTACAAAAGTCCATCAAATATAAATAAATGGATATAAATAAATAATAATGGTATGGAAACATTCTACATCATCTTCTGATTCGTAAAAGTACTTCCCTCTTACAATTGGTGCCCTGTAAAGGACATGTTACCTCCTGCATACCACCCAATCATCATAAACAAGTTTTTACGAAAATTACGCAACAAAAGTACGTTTTTGTACTCAAAATCTCTGTCTTGGACCTCACTCGATCGCTCTCTTATGAAAATAGCCATCGGCTAAGAAAAATCTACAAAAAATCGATTTTTCTACCATGACTTGGCAGATTCCTACTAATAAAATGGCGTCGGCCTTGCCCTGGTCCTTTCCGTTAAATAATTTGCAATTTTTTTTTGCATAAATAAGAAAAGTATGAGAAGAGAGCGATGCGTTCCGCTACTTTCAATACGGGGAAAAAGTTTCATTGATTCTCATTGCATAGAATCCAAGAAAACTTGTTTTTGGTAAACGTCTTTTTGTGGTCGGTTCCGTTACCCCTTAAGAGTGCGGCTGACTCCTCACCCCCTAATTTTAATACTTTTTTCATCCGCTTACATAGCTCCACAATTTCACATGGTTTGTTTCCCTTGCAGGAAATTGAACGAGACAGTTCTGACGGATTGGGGGATCAAGATGATGCCGCAGTATGCTGATCCTTATCACAAAAGGTAACTGGGATTACTAAAGTCACTAGGACTCGAACTATATTTTCGTTACACTTCGTACGTAAATCGCCGCCCACGAACGCTGTAATAAAAAACATCGTCCATCCCTTGGTCAAAAATAATTTTTTCGGTGCGCCCATGAGGATAACGGAGTCGGGATACTTTGGACCCTATCAGTGTAAAGTCTTAACTCCGTCTATTTTTTGTAATTGAAAAATGTACATGAAAGAGCCATTTATCATGCAAGGAATTTGCTCAATGAAATACGTTGAAAATAATATCTCCGGATGTATCTATGTGATTGACTTCATCTTTTAACTGAACATATTTGTTGAATGAAAGAATTACAGTTATCAAAATTTACAGTCGTTGATAGTATTATTTTGGTATATACTTTCTCGATTAGAACTCCAAGACGTCGTATCATTTTGGTATATACTTTCTCGATTAGAACTAGACAAGACGTCACTCTGGAGAAATCTTGTCGGTCTAAAAAAATTCAATTTTTTTCGTATCTTCCCCGTCTTGGAAGATAGTGTCCTATGTCATTACGATTTCAGAAGAATTTATGTATATTGTTTTGGTCTCAATTTTTTCCACTTTTTAATGGTTGGTTTCGGTTTCAGTTTTAGTCTCTATCTCGCACACCTAAAAATAGGAAAAAGTTGAGACCAAGATGAGTTGAATTCTCTCGAAGTCGTGACGAGATGCAACGATACTGTCTTCCGAGACCACGGTATTAAAAATTTCCATGTTTACTTTTAGGCCGAGAGTGTTTCTTCGGAATGAAGTCTCCTTTCATTTTGTGGACAGCCCTATGTCTCCATAGGTTTGCGCGTTTGTTAGTATCGCTCTGATCGCTTTCTATTCGGACATCTGCCATTTTTTCTGATTAGGGTAAGGTAGGCTGAAACCCCAGGTTAATGTTTTTCATAATATCAATTCAGTGAAATATTAATTAGTGTTGTGATAAAACGGTTAAGAAATAAAATAGGTGCCCTTTATTTTCGCTTCATGAGGTGTATAATGATGTAGAGATACATTGGCCTGTCAAACATTCCACATACGTTTGCCGTCCATTCCGCTTTTAATATGGGAGAGAGGATATGGAGGAGAGGTTAAAATAAAATTAATAGGATGATATGCTGAATGACAATGTTTACTCATTTTAACTATTGAATGTAATTTATCATGTAATAGAAAACAGTCAGGGATCAAGCTTTTATTGTGCGATACCGGAATTTTTACTATGCAGCACCGGAATTTTTCTGGTGCTAGACAATTAAACCCACTTTACCAGACGGCACGGTATTTTTTTTCTCCGTGCACTGACAGAAAATTGGTAATTTTTGTTTTTTTTTCTTTCCTTCAAATCAGGAACACTGAATGTGTGGTATTAAAAATGAGTTTCTTGGATCGTAACCGTCGACGGGGTTTTATAGACAAGAAGTGTCGTTGAACCGCAATTTGGTCAGATTTGCTAATCACCTCAAACCACTAATGACTTTGAAGTTTTGTCCGAATGGAGGCAAAAACAAAAATTATCAATTTTCTGTCAGTGGTCCGTTTTGCTCCGCTGTCCGTTTTGCCCTACCCTCCCCTATTAAATTAAAATAAATACTGGTAACTCGATTAAAAATATGAATGACTTTATTCAGGACATAGAAAAATCCACTCAGATGATCAGATTCAATGAGGCAACATAATTCTCACCGTATTTTGTAATGCAAACTCTCTGATCAGTAATAACTCCGTTATCTATTGCGCGCACACTAGTTAGACAGAGAGGTCCGAGCTATCCTTGGGCTGGTTTAGTTGCCGAGTATCACCGAACGCCTCACGGAATCGCTCGATGCAAGCGAGCCACACGACCGACTTTACTCACGCCCGAGAAACTCTCACACGCTCCTTGTCCGAGCTGAATAAAATATTTTTTTATAATTCATTGAAACCAGCTAGATGGTTTTTATTGATCCCAGAGGAAAGAGGGATAGTTGCTTCACGCAATTAAATAGTTTCAGTCCACAATCTCATTTTTTTTACTATGTTCTCTATACCCTGAAAATTTTTGTAAGAGAAACTCATATAGCGCAAGTGCTGACGGGTTACCTTTTTTTGAAGACTTCTCTATACTGTGTGCAAAAACCTAACTTCATCATCCTAATACCTGCATTATAAAACACTTTTAAAAGTTGCTCTGGAAAAGAGGGGAACGCAGAAAAGAAATAATAATTTGTTTTCTTTCTTTTGGATTTACAGACCTATGAAAATGGGAGAAATTGGATGCTTCCTTAGTCACTACATCATCTGGAAAAGGATGATCGATGACAATTATAAACAAGCTATGGTGCTAGAAGATGATGTTCGTTTTGAACCTTATTTTCGAAATAAAATCAACGTTGTTATGGGTGAATTGAAGAATTTACACCTGGAATGGGATTTAGTGTAAGAGACAATTAACTACTATTAACTACTTACTTCCAGTGTCTGATCTGTATTATCATCGTATCAAACCATTTACTTTAAAGTTCTCTTGGTATGTACCGGGGAAAAATGAGGCTCTGAGCGCTAAACCTCAATTTCTGAACGCGTAAATACGAGATCTATTTGGAAGTAATGATGAATGTTTGTCTCATTAATATCATCTTTTGTTGGTAGTTTCGCTCAATAAGTTGGTACTAAAATATTGAATCCTGAAATAATTGATTTTGCGTAATGCACGAGAAAAATTTCAGGTGGTTGCATCCTTGATACGGCTGTACTGTTAGAAAAAAAATGAAATTTCATGGGTAGTTGACTACTAATTTTCAGGACAGTAATACTGAATGCGATTTAGGGAGAAAAATCATAAAATTTCAGGTTTTACTGAAAATTCAGAAAAATTCAAGAATTTTAAGCACCGTAAGGACGAGAATTCCTTAATTTATTTGAATTTCTAATCTAATATGAATATTCAGTGTCAAATTACATTGAATTTTTAGTAAAATCTAAAGTTTCATGATTTTTCCCCCCCTAAATTGCATTCAGTGTTACTAGCCTGAAAATTCAAGAATATATATACCGCAATTTTCTGGTTTTCTATTCATTTTCAGGGAACAATGGAACTGAAATTTACAGTTCTCTTTGATTTTTCCACGAAATTCTGAATTTTTAATGACGAAATTCCTTGAAATTTCAGTGGTAATTAAATTTGATAAAAATTTCCAATGACTGTACCGGAAAATTCAGACAAAATTTTTAAACAGTGTGTGTTTGGTGGAAATGGCATTGCATACTTCCCAAACTTGAAAAGTTGAAAATCACTACAAACTAATTTTGTCTCGGACTGTTGCGACAGGGTTTTTTACTCGTGTGGTTGGCCAGTCGTCGCCTTCGGCTCGGACACCAACACCACACAAGTAAAAAACCCCATCGCAACAGCCCGGAAAAGTACTATCTTCTGGAAAAACGAAAAAGTTTTTCCCCGAGATGCACCTTTTCTTAACGTGAATACGTCTACAAATTTCGGTGGGGAAATATTTAACACTCTGCGACAGATTATCTCCCTAAGTGTGAGTGTCAAAATCTCCGAAACCCAAAATCTCCGAACAGAGGAAAAAATTTGCCGAAAAGTACAACTAAACGTGTAGCACAGCTTATGAGTGCAACACGTACTAAAACTGATTTTAGAGAATCCGAGTTCTGGAAGGGTTGGGAGGACGTCGGATGGTCATTTTGAAAGACTGCGAGATTTTTGGAGGATGGGATTTATTTATTTTTTTCAATTTTTTCAAATCTCGGGAAAAAATATTTTGCAAGGGACAAAACATGCTGAAAGTTGGGTTTTACTAGACTAGACTAGAGAAAGGGAGCCGGGGTTAACACCTCACGTATGACGTCGATACGATGTATTGCCCCACCAGCTTGTCCCATCGGCCGGGGTCGATACAATCTATCAACCCTCAACACGCTCTGGCCATTTAATGCCGGCCGTCCCGGGCCTGAATTGCCCGGGCCCGGCCAGAATTGTTTGTTGGTTGCTGTTGAATCAACCAACAAACCTCGGCCTAGAAGCACTCCCGGCCAAATATTGCTTGCACATCAAATGACCATTCGTCAAATAGCAAGTCTCGACCGATAATTGGGTAAACTTCCGAAGCCGAGAATTGATAAGAGTCAAACCGGAAAGACCAGTCAATAAATCTCGAGGGTCAAACTCTCATAACAATCACGGTCTAGCAGCACGGAGAGAAATATTCAGTAAAAATTACGTATCTTTTCCGTAATTTCAGAGCGAAATGTGGTTGTAGGAAATTTTACGGAACTGTCACGGAATTTTTCCGGAGCGTTCCGTAATTTTTATCTGAATCTCCTGTGAAAAATTACGATACCGGCACTTAAATTTTCTGAATTGATTCCGTAATCGGTGAGTGAATTGTGAATTCCGTAATTTTTACCGAATATTACTCTCCGTGAGGGAAAACGAGTGCAGTTATCCAAACGGCCAAATACTCACAAGGGACACGAGGGTTATAGCATCAAATAGGGATAATGGCAAAATGACCCTTGAGGGTCTGACGCTTATAGGTCGAATAATTATAGGGGTCGAACGGCATCATACGGGAAAACATGTACACAGATGCTAAGGGTCAAACGATCATAACGTCCAATTTCATCTAACATGGGAAAAAATGATTCCTCTGTTAGAAATTATTTGTTTTTTTCAGAATTTCGGAAATTAGGTTGTTTTCGAAATAATTTTCGAAATCATCTCCGAAATCACGTGACATCGCCTGAAGTCAATGAAATCACCGAAATCAGTGGCACACTGGGGTAATATGAACCGTGCGAGTAATTCGTGATTTTGGAATTCACACATCTGCCAACGATCATAATAAAATGCCGTACTAATTGCCATAGTAAAATGGTAAAATGGGCCGCTTTTGATCGTCAGCTCAAGATGGGCGGAGTAGAGTCAAACGAATTCGTTATTATTTGTCAGTTAATATTGCCAGTTTTGATTTTCATAATTTGACACAACCCGTTTTGTCCCACCTCTATTATTTATTAACTTTATTTTTGTGAAATCACTTATTTCGAATTAATGAAATCATTCGAAATCATTAAATCACTTTCCGTGACGCTCGAAATCACCGAAATCATTTTTTTCGAAATCACCGCTGAAATCACCCGAAATCGACTTCATTTCAAAATCATGGTGTCACTCAATTATGGAGTGAGTAACCCCTCGGTAATTGAAGGAAAACGATACTCATTTCCCTCATATGATGATCGATCTAGAGACAAAACAGTCGTTATTTTGTGAAAGAAAATGAAAAATTGAATAAAAAATTGATTGGAAATTTCAGTGTGAATTGTAATTTAGTGAGTCGGCCACTCACCGGCGGCGCGAATTGTCCTTTTCTGCGGATTTTTTCATAGATTTTGGCCACAGGAAATTTTGCCATTCAACCCGCCTCAAGACCATCAATTTTCACTGTTGATATTGTCATCGAAAATTTGAGAATTATCCGAAACATTTCAGAAATTGCTCCCGGTAAGAGATGAGGGGTGGCTCAGCGTAGGCTGACGATGGCCTGATCATGGCCAACGCTTAGCCAATCTTGGCCCATTCCTCATCTCCTACCGGGGTCGGAATAGTTCTAGAAATCGGATAATCATCTGATTAACAAAGGTTTCCTTTTTATTTCCATAACAGATATTTAGGCCGTAAACGGATGCAGGAAGAGGATGAGCCTTACGTCAAAGGTTCCAAATATCTCGTTCACGCTGGCTACAGTTATTGGACCTTAGGCTATATCTTATCCCACACAGGAGCGCAAAAACTACTCAACGCTAAGCCACTAAATTCTCTCATCCCAGTGGATGAATATCTCCCCATTCTCTTTGACAAACACCCACGAGCCAACTGGAAAGGATACTTCCCGAAGCGGAATTTAATTGCGTTTTCGACAGCGCCATTATTAGTTTATCCCACACATTATACCGGCGAGTCTGGCTACATTAGTGATACGGAAAATTCTAATATTATTGCAGCAGATAAAATTGTAGTGATGAAGAATGAATTGTAAGAGGGGATTGTGGAGATTTGGGGGGGGGGGGGGGGAGGACAAAAGAGGCCCCGGCGAATGGGGAGGAGCCTCGAGGGAATTCGTTATTCGAGAAACTCGTGCCATCAGATTTTATGCCATTTTGTTATATTATAAGAGAGGACTAATTTTTATACATAGAATTATTTTAATGACATTTAGCAACTGCCAAAGTATATTTGATATAAAGAATTTTTATATTTGTTTATTAATCATTTTTATATTGTGAATGAGTGTTTGGAGATCACACTGAATAAATCTAGCTGTGCATAAATCATTCCATGATATAGGTTTTTTTTTATAGTTCTATTTCCTTCGAACTTTGATCACTCTAGATTCAACAGATGGAGAGATCCCGAATTCACCACCGGAGATACCTTCACGTAAGGATCGCTATTGAATTCGAGATTTTGTCAACTGCATACAAAAAAAAAGAACAGGACCCATTCCGTTTTTCCAGTCCCCATTGTCACATTTTGTCCCCTCGTCAGGCCCACCATCGCCGGTTGCGACACAATTCTCCCTAACACAGATTCGTCACTATTTGTCGGGATGTCGCACAGAGCACATATGTGATTGTCCCGAATCCGCGTGATCATCAAAAGTTTATCTAAAAAAATGTGTTATATTTTTTAATTTAAAAGAAATGTTATTGACCTCTAAAGTTTAATTAATCCCACAATTTTGAATTTTTTTTCCTCAAAACTATAAATTCATGAGTTTTTTCACGTATTTTGAAAAACTGGATTGAAAACTAAAAAATGGAACAAATTACGGTAAGTATCCCCAAATAATGAACTTCCACCTCTAAAGTTTAATTAATCCCACAATTTTGAATTGTTTTTCCTCAAAACGATAAATTCATCAGTTTTTTCACGTATTTTGAAAAACTGGATTGAAATCTAAAAAATGGAACAAATTACGGTAAGAATCCCCAAATAATGAACTTCCATTTTTGCGTGGTTCAATTTTTTCAATAATTTTCTCTAGTAGACTTGCAGTCAATTACGGCCGTTACATCCATCTGAATTATCCCATCTTTCTTTGTTAACTCACAGGATTAGGGCCCGTGTACCCTCCATTTTTGTCATGTGTCGGCGGCACCATATCCGATTAGCGCCGTCCTCTCTCTTCAAATTTACTCTGTAAAAGACATTAACTGAAAATTAATGCTGATTTTCTCCGGATAAGAAGAAAAAACTATGGAAAATTCGAAGGAAGTGAGTAATAATCGTAGAAGTCGTAAAACTCAAGCCTGGCTGGACGAACATGGCGATAAAGGGGACGATATCATACGCATCGAGGGTGTGGATAGGTTGGTGACGCGAAACTTGTTGAAAAATACTGAGCGATGCGATAAAAATGATGATTTATCCGCTGGAACATTGATATGGGGATATTGCAGAGGATGGTGGCCAGGTGACTATCCTTCCTTTTCCATTCCTCATAGCGAGTTATAGGGAACAAAATAGTTCTGTGGTGAAGTGATGAAACAAGTTTTAGTTTTCAAGGGGATACGTCGGTGAAATTTAAAAGTCTTTACTGGGCCTTAGGACCCATTGAAGAGTTTGTGATATGTGACAGAATATGGGGATAACTAAGGAAAATCACGGAACCGATCGATTTTGCCCCGTATAAGGACGAAAAACTTCATTTTTTCCTGTTTTTACCTTCAAAGTGCTCCTTACGCCGTAATTTTCATACCATTTAAGTTTTTTTTTAAATGTTCGTTACACTCCAACGAATAAAGTTGAACACCCGCTTTACTTTATTCCCAATAGATTATGAATGAATGAATTTTGCATTTCATAAATTTTTCGTGTCTCTAGAGTAGAGTGAAATCGGATGAAAACGACGATGCAAGGAGTATTTTCAAGGCACAAACAGAAAAAAAATGAAGTTTTTCGTGGTTAAATTAGGCAAAATCGATTGGGTTCGCGATTTTCCCTGGTTATTTCCATACTCCGTCATAGATCACAGTGAAGACTTAAATTTCACCGACGTATCCTCTTAAAAACTAATCTTGTTTTATCATTTCACTACACGGAGAGAAATATTCAATAAAAATTACGTATCTTTTCCGGAATTCCGGAGCGAAATGTGGTTGTAGAAAATTTTACGGAACTGTCACGAAATTTTTCCAAAGCGTTCCGTATTTTTTATCTGAATCTCCTGTGAAAAATTACGATACTATGGCTTAAATTTTCTGAGTCGATTCCGTAATCGGTGAACGAACTGTGAGTTCCGTAATTTTTACTGAACATTTCTCTCTGTGTAAATTTCACGGACGTATGCCCTTAACTGAAATAGAGCCTGTTTTGACGGGAGAAAAATAAGTAATACTAACAAGTCATGAATTTCATCTTTCTAGCGCTAGTTGTTTCTCCTGAGGACTTGCAAAATATTGGGAATCCTAAGAAATTATGGGTTTTTTGGTTGACTGATTCGAAAGTGTCCCAATTGAAGAGGACATCGCAAGTGATTATATTCTGTGATGGTGCCAAAGAACGATTGATGACAATCGTGGATAAAATGAAAGCTTTCGATAATGTGTTTATTGAAATTATGGAGGTATTTCAAAGCGTTCAGGCGCATTGCTAACTTACAAAATGATATTAATTCAATGGTGAAATGGCAGAACAAAGCATGGAAACAAAAAAATCGAGAATGGAGAATACGGTGAATCGCCCAGTGAACGAACGAATAAAATTTGTATTCTTTACATACCATATGAAGAAAGCACTCCGAGAAAAAATGTGTGCCAGCATCATAAATAAGGCGCAAATTGCAATATCGGGATGTTCATCATGTGGTACCTGAAAAAATACTATACCTTTAATGTCATAAAAACACCAGACAAATTTCTGGTGCTGCATCAATTTTTGCACATAGATTTTTTTCTGAATTTTGATCTTCGTGCGGTGATCGATTGATAGGATACGATAATAATGGAAATTTCAAAAAGGTTCATGAAGTGGGTTTCAATTGTGTAACATTGTATTGCATTTTGAATTTTGAAAAAAAACTCTGTAGCTCACAAATTGGAGACCCTGAACTATTTTTAACATTATAAGCATCTACGGGGCAAACGAACACTAAACAATTTTTTTTGTACTAATTATTCGTTTTTAGACATATATAATCGATCTTGAATGTATGAGAAATCTCATTCCAATAGTTCGCGACTTTTGAAGCTCATAGTGGTCTCCCCTTAATGTTTTTTCAATCAACCTGAAGGTGAATTAATACAATGAATTTTCAGATGCTCGGAAATAGAATAGGATGCGTTTTCACAAAACCCTACACCTTGTGGATAGAGAAATATTTTATTACTTTGAATAATCACAGAGAGCATTTGAAGTTCTACCCGTATCCCTCTCGAGTGTTGCAATATTTAGAAACGTTCAGAGGAGCTCAGACACAACCAATGAAGGCAATACCGCCAACGAAGCGTAAAAGCTCTATCCAAAAACGTCACCAACACCCTGATAAATCCCTCGAGCGAGAGAATTCGAATCATTTGCATGTTAAGCATCAAAAAATTGGGTTCATCGTGTGGGCGAAGATTCCGGGACAAATTTGGTGGCCGGGTAAGAGGAAGAATATGATAAAAACAGTGGCATCAACTTTCTGAATCATTTCACGCATGAAAAAATTCAATAGAAAACCTAGGGAATTCGCTAGAAAATGCTATTGGAATTATATAGGAATTCTGCGGAACTTCTATAGAACTTCAATTGGAATTGTATTGAAAAATTATACTTGTTTTTTCCGCTGATTCTATTGCATATTTCATAGGCAATAGTCGATATATTTTGAATTTTTGTCGGAATTTTTCTCTTGAGATTTTTTTATTAGAATTATTGGGCACAAATTTTCTAAGTTTTTTCCGTTGAATTTTGTTTTGTTTTGCATTACAGAATTAGTGCGGAAAAACTTCGAAAATTGACGCCCAAGCATTCTTACAGAAAAAATCTCAAGAGAAAAATTCAAACAGAGATTCGAAATCTATTAACATTTTCTTATCGAATATCCAATAGAATCAGCGCAAAAGCAGATTTTAGAATTTTTCAATAGAATTCCAATAGAAATCCTATAGAAACTCTATAAAATTCCAATAGAAATTGCTAGCGAATTCGTTAGGTTTTCTATTGAATTTTTTCATACGTATTCATTCATCAATTTTTTCTTTTTAAGCGATGATCGTTGATTTTCGAGACTGTGCAATGAGTGAGCCAAAAGTGGAATTCCAGTGGGTTATGTGGTATGGAGATTACACGTTATCTCAAGTTAATTATAAAAATTTCATGAAGTTCGATTTGGGTATAAAAAAGTTTGAAGATCACATAAAGCACTCGAAGAGAGAGGTCTACAAGCGAGGAATTTTGGAAGCTTCTAAGGACTATTGTAGCTTGTTCGGCTGTCAAACGGATGATTGGAATTTGAACAATGTTTTCAATTGGTTCAAACAAAGTCGAGACGATGATGAATCCATTGATGAAAGACATCTATTGCGGAATAATTTTAATAATGACAATATTAAGTACTCTTCGACCATTCGGATGGAATTGCTGAAACACGTTAGTAAGAGTAGCGAAGCAGCTGTTCGAGAGCATAAACTCCAGAATGCTGGTAAGAATGAAAGGCGGACATTCGCTCGCACTTTTGAGTGAAAAGTTTCTTGAAGAAAAATTCCTTTAAGAGATAACGGAACCCGTCGAAAAGAGCAGATTTTGTTCACGCTTTTCTCTGATTATATTCAATAAAAATGGCTGAAATTTTCTCCACATATTGAGGGAAGCATGAGGGAAGGTATGTAACCCTCCACTTTTTTATTTTTGCAAAAAAAATTGTTATGAAAAAAATTGCAAAATTTTCTCTTATATATGTAGGGTTACAAACCCTCCCTTATGCTTCCCTTAATAAGTGGTGAAAATCTCGACCATTTATATTGCATGGAATAAAAGAAAAGCTTGAACATAAATAAGTTTATTTCAACGGCTTCCGTTACCTCTTAAAGATCTTTATTGTTGCATTGTATTCGGTTTTATAACGTTGCCTGTATGTTTGTGTGGATTTTTAGGAACTTTTTTATAGGTCGTCACAGAAGAGAAAACTGATACACTGAGAGAAAAATATAATTCTGACTATATTCCATCACCATCGAACTATAGTCAAAAAGTCCTCAACAGTTTTGCATGGGTTACGGTAACTATGGCCGGAGAAGTGATTACTACAATGGAATGTAGTCATTGCAACTATTTTATAGTTCTACTCACGATAGATTTGTCACGGTTACTTTTGAACTTCGGTTAGTTTAGCTGCATTTTGATTTGCAAAAATTACGCTTGTGAAGATACCATAATGTTATGTGCCGCATACAAAAAAAAATCGTATCGTTCACCAAAACTGCCTCAACTATTTTCTTATTGTAAATCGAACTTCAGATTTTTCTCTCAGTGTAACTAAAAATCTAAAACTGTGTACCATAGTTGGAATTATTTGGGGTCTCTTCTAGGCCAATCTTCAGAAATGCCGCAATTTCTCAAGTCGAATCCATGTCAAGAGGTCAACCCCTGATATGACCCTCACCCTCTCGAAAGTGTAAGGGGAAAGTGTAGGGGAATTTTTACAGGATGGAGGGGCTGAGGAAACTCCTGATTTATCCAGGATTTTCTATAGTTCGTGTGGGAGATATGATTTTCTTTGTTTCTGCCGTTTTTTACATATATACCTTGTCTTTTGATGGACCGATTTCAATTTATCAAGCACCACAACGTTTCATTTTCTGCTATTGAGCATTCGTAGGATAAAATTTCTTTTCCAATCCCTAGATGTCTACGATGATGAATTTTCGAAGGAAAAAATCGACAAACGTGAATTATATCAATTACGTAACGTTTCATTTTTTTCATTCATTGTCAAAACTAAAACAAGTGTTTTGAACCAGACCAGAAATAGGGCAACATCGGAAACATAGGGCAACAAGAATTATCCTTGAACTATCACGTGTCTAGAAGCAAAAAGTCATAAACGCCAAAAAGCTACTTTCCGAGTTTCTTAAAGCGAGAAGGTCATATCTCCACTCATTTTTTCTACAATTCTGCGTGAAAATGCTGGAGAAACTTATTATAATATCTACATTTTCAGATTACTGGTGAGCTGCATATACGACCTTTTGCCTTCAACTTATATCCCCAGAAATGAAAAATTCCTTAAAAGGTCGTAATGACAAAATTTGGGATTTTTAAATTTTTAGTTCCGTGGACAAGTTATACCTTCAATATTCCAGTTGATGTCACTTGAAGTTATCGGTGTCTTTGATTATGGTCAAATAATTATATCGGCAACTTAATAACATCATTTGTGTAAATAGCGTATCTCCATTTTTAATCCATATTCGCCTATTTCGGAACATCTTAAAAACTCTCAAAAAATTTGTATTTTCTAAACATTTTTTGTGCACTAATCACCCCTTGTATAACTACTTCAAGATACGCTTGTGTATTGCGTATTCGTAACAGAAGAACGTATCTCCAAAAATCTAAATTAGGAAACTATAATCTAAATTAGGGAACTGAAGCGATTTTTATTTTTACGGGTCCAACAGGGCAGTGATCGGAAGAATCTCTCGAGGGTTAAATGGGAGAGGCAGGTACAGCACAGAGAAACAAGTGGATTAGCATTAGAAACTAGTTTCTTGATTTTCGAAACTCCAATTCTTAAGCTTTATCCTTGATGGGATCAAAAAAACTAACGATTTTGAAAATTGTGTTTGAGAACAAAAATTTTCTAAAACAAATGCTGAATTTTTTTTAATTTTCGAAAATTTTCAGATTGAACTAAAAAATTGCGGTCGAGGTATTTAAAGGGCGTACCCCATACATAGGGAGGGGTGCCCAAATATCGAGAATTTCAGATGTGAGGGGGGGGGGGGGTTGTAAATTTAGAATTCGCAACCAAAAAAATTGACTCGCTGAGGTTTTCAAAAATATCTCCAAAACTAAGGGAGATAGCGAATTCTTACTGAAAATTTGGGGGGTGGGAGGTGTGCATTGAGAATTTACAATCAAAAAAATAGAATCGGTGAGTTTTTCAAAGATATTTCCAAAACTAAGAAACATAGCGAAGTTTTACTGAAAAATTGCGGAAGGGCGAGGGGGGGGGGGAAGGGTTGTACATCGAGGATTTAATAAAACCTCCCTCTCCCCCAAATTTTCAGTAAAAATTTGCTATCTCCCTTAGTTTTGGAGATATTTTTAAAAAAGTCGCGGACTCATTTTTTCTGGTTGTGAATTCTCAATGCACAACCTCTCCTCCCCCTCTCTGCAAAATGTTCCTTCCAAAAATGAAAGAAATTCTCTAGATTTTAGAAAATATTTTTTCTAAAATTAAGTATACTTAGTAATGGAGCTAGAAAAAAATCGTTTAAAATTAATGATCAAAATGGGGATTAATTTTAAACCATTTTTTTTCTAAAACTTAGAAAAAAGTTCTAGATTTTAGAAAAATGAAGGTTAGAAACCGCAGTTTCTAAAATTTGGAAACTTTTTTTTAAAAGCCAATCCACGTTTTCTATCTGTGTATGCTGAACCATGTTTCGAGGGAATTTGAAACTTTTTCAGATTATAATGATTAACAACCGTGAATTCATGGGCGCATGATCATTTGACGCATAATGGAATTATATTTCTCATTCTCTCAATGACTAGGAGGATATTCTAATTTGTGTAATGACAAATAAGTAAAATTGGAGGAAACTTTTTCAAAAGGATTGAAATATCAAAGTGCAACCAAAATATAAAATTGGATCTTTTCGCTTTAGACGAGACATTTTTCTAACTTCATCAAAAGTAAAAGGTCGTTTATCAATTGATAACCAAACTCGAGATATTTTAATTTTTTGGGTTCACTTTGATCGGTTTCCTAAAAGCAAAAGGTCGTATATGCTGGCGGATATGAACTTTTGCCGGAGAAGGCCATTTTTGGCATATATGACCTTTTGCTTTTAAACACGCGATATTAAACATATATTCTCGATTCTTTCAGAAACACTTTTCGGGCTATTTTACATGAATGGTGCAATTTTTTAGTAAAAAATAACGAAACTAGTTGTGTAGGAGTTGAATTTCAAGAAACTAATCCGTAATTGTTATTGCGCATATTTTTTCAAAAATTTTGAAAAAAAAAGAAACCACTATAGCTAAAAAATTGACGGCCCAGAACTATTTTTAACATTTTAAGCGTATGCGAGGTACACGAACAATAAACATTTAATTTTATTGCACTAATTATTCATTTTTAGGCATATATAATCGATTCTCAATGTATGAAAAAGCGCATTCCAATAGCCCGCGACTTTTAAAACTCATAGTAGTCTCCCCTTAGGAGAATGGCACAACAATAAAAATTATATCATCCATACGGGCTATATAAAAATCCTAATTAAATGAAGGGATAACTTTTTGCGAGCTACCCAACCCAAAAAATCTCCGTTCACTTTCAAGATTGTGAAAGTCACGGGTTAATAACCAATTTGACGTGGTTCCTTATATGCTGTTTGATAAGATTGTGGCTCTTGTTTTTTTATTTTTTTTGTCAACTGTTGCAATGGTAATTTATGTCCAATAATATTCTATGTATTTTCAGAGATATTACATGCAATTAGTTCTAACTCGATAGACATTCAAAAATCGATTTGTCTCATGTGTCTGGAGATGAATGAAGGAAAGATGCATGAACATCCATTTTTCAACGTTTCATTATGTGAAAATTGTATGGTAAGTCTCAACTAGATCATAAATATATTTCGTGAACTGGATATTTTACTACGCAGAAGTTTCCTCATAGATTCATCACAAATCAACAGTTTTCGCCTATGATGACGATGGGAAATGTGTAAGTCTCCCTTCCAATGCCAATTGGTTGTTTTTCTGATTATGGAAAAGATAAAATATAAATCTATAATATACTTCCAGTTTTTCTGCGCTCTCTGCACTATTACGGATACAGTAGTCATATGCGATAATTGCGAATGCTCCAGGTAAATAATAGATTTTAAATCAATAGATAGAGAAAATTTCTTGTCAATTTTCCTGGCTTTGCTGGGTGTCTCTTCAGAGCAGACTGTTTGCATGAATTATCGGCTTCGCCTCGGCCCGCCACACGCACGAAAAAATTTAATAGAAAAACCTATCGAATTCGTTAGAAAATTCTATTGCATTTTTATTAAACTTTCTATTAGTTTTTGACTGATTCTGTTGACATGTTCAATAGAAAACATTCAATAGAAAAAGTCAACAGAATTCGACTTTTCGCTTCGCGGGAGGAAAATCTGCCTTTCCGCCTACGCTGTGATGAAAAATAACCTTCTCACCACGGGAGGTAAAATCAAGGAATCTTACCCACGTGCTTACCATCCGAGCCGAAGGCTCGGCTTGGTAATTCTGCCNTCAACAGAATTCGACTTTTCGCTTCGCGGGAGGAAAATCTGCCTTTCCGCCTACGCTGTGATGAAAAATAACCTTCTCACCACGGGATGTAAAATAAAGGAATCTTACCCACGTGCTTACCTAATTCTGCCCGTGGGCACGACTCCTTTATTTTCCCTCCCTTGGTGGGAAATATACTATTTCTATTATACATAACTTATTCTTTTCATATAGAAAGGCGAAAGATTTATGCGTGTTTTGAAGGGAAACCAGAGTTCTTTTCACATATTTTCTATAGAATTTGCTCGACTCAAATTTTATAAGTTTTTTTCATTTTATTTTTCTTTTCTTCTCATCAAGAAGATCAAACGAAAAAACTTGGAAAATTCGAGCCGAGGAAATTCTATAGAAAATATCTCAATAGAATAAGGTATATAGAAAAATTGAATTCTATTGACTTTTTCTACTGTATATTTTCTATTGAACATTTCAATAGAATCGGCCAAAAACTAATAGAACAGTTCAGTAGAAATTCAATAGAATTTTCTAACGAATTCGATAGGTTTTTCTATTACATTTTTTCGTCCGTGCAACTTCACACTCGTGAAAATTCTATCTCACTCGTATCGAAATATACTGTATTTATTTCTGGCGTGGTCGCTCAATTTTAGTATTTCCATTTATGGTATAATCCTGAAAAATGAGAATTAGAGGAATAAACTAGTGAGTTTCGAAAGTTCTGCAATGGACAAATCAACTCCATGGGGTCTATTCTACTGTGTATCAACTTCGAAAAATGTTAGATGACCCACGAGAGAGTATTGACTATGCCGAGCATTGAAAGAAAAACGACAAAAATCGATTTTTGACTTCGGAGACATTCTGTGTGAGGAGCAGTAGTTGACGAATTAGACTGAAAATTTAACACGATGTTCAGTAAACATTGTTGACAGCACCAATAAAAGTTAAAATGTTTTCATTACATTTTTCTATCTGATGATTATTTAATTTCCTGTCAGATTAAAAAAATCCCGAGCGCTTGCGCGAGGACGAAACTTGACGCATTTGTGTGTATGGAGGACAGTTTGAGGGAAATCCGATTCATTTTGAAGCTCGAGCGGTATTCGGCACATTATTTCCCACATCACCATTTCGATAAATAGAATTGTGGTATTCGGTGTCATCGTGGTACAATCGACATTTTTTGGTTGACAACGAGAAAATTACCGAACGACGGCAAATTATCGATATATTTCTCTTCTGATTGGTCCAGGGGATGTCGAATACCGCAATTTTATTGTTCGGAAGGGTGATGGGGGAAATAATCTGTAATATATTTCGACGCAAGCGCGGAAAAGTGGTTTTTGACGGGTGGGAGGTGTGTAGTGCTCACGGAGACGAGTGCTACCGTCCCGCTCGTCAAAGGGCACTTTTTCCACGAGCGTTGGACACTATTTATCACAACGCATATGAAGTGGGGTTTTGACATAATGAAAAAATATTGACATTAAATTTTTTATTTTTTCGGTTTGTTTGCGATGTAAAATAAAATAACTCGAAGCAAGAAATTCGTTTGAATATTTGCGAAATGTCCTGTGGCCTTCTCCCTAAGTATCTCTCTATACATACTGAAAAGTCGGACGATTTGAGAACAAAAGTTTTCTGAGAAGTACGTCTTCACTTGTATCAAGAAATTCATGGCTCAAGAATAAAATAGTATATTTCGATACGAGTGAGACAGAATTTTCACGAGTGTGAAGTTGGCGGCCCGAGGCGAAGCCAAGGGCTGCCAATCACACGAGCTGAAAATTCCTGTCTCACATGTGTCGAACAATAGTTTTTGACAGTGATGTTACGTTCAGCGAGTGGCGAACTGTGCCTTTTTTCGTTTACTAGTAAACGAAAAGACTTTTCGTTTACGAGTAAACGAAAAGGCACTTTTCGACACGAGGTGAACGTAGCAGCAGTGTCAAAATAGTATACTTCGTAACGAGTGCAAAAAACATTTTTTCACGAGTTACGAACAATATTTTTCATCACAATGTGGCGGAAATTGGACTTTTAGGCACGCGGAGCGTGCCGAAAAGTTCACTTTTCGTCACAGCGTGATGAAAAATATTTTTCTCAGTGAATCATGATTGATTTTTGAATATTTTACAGAGTGTACTGCACTGCCTGCTTGAAATACTTAATCGCCCCTGATTCTTATCATGAAATTCTTAAGAAGCAAGTATGGAGTTGTATTCTCTGTAGTGAATCACCCGATTTAACGAGCAATTCACTGATAAAACCGAGGGATGACTGGAAAAGGAAAATTCAGAGTATGTTTTCCACTAATCGTCATTCTATTTCTCATTACATGCAATACTACGAAAAAGAGAAGAAGAAGATTCGAGTTTTATCTCTTTTCGATGGCATCAGTACTGGTAGATTTTCATTTTCATTTCCATTAATCTAATGACAAAGGATGAATTGCAACAACTGATTTCCGTCAATTGGAAGGTTTATTGGGGCTCCAGCATCTTGGATTCGAGGTCGAGGCATATTTCGCCAGTGAAGTAGATCCAGATGCCGAAATAGTGAGTAAAGTTCACTTCGGTACGGCAGTAACCCGTTTGGGAGACGTCAGGGGTATTACGAAAGAGATCTTGAGTGATATATTGCCGATTGATTTGCTAATCGGAGGGTCACCCTGCAATGATTTGAGTCTGGTCAATCCAAAACGTCGTGGACTTCATGGTAACTTTTTCAAATTTTTATAATTTATTATACTTATGATGCAAAAGTATTTTTCCATCTTGTTGATGACGTCACCGAAATATTTCGTTTTTGTAGATCCCAATGGCACAGGAATTCTCTTCTTCGAATATTGTCGCATCAAAAATGTAATTGAGAAGGAAAATAAGAATACGAATCTATTCTGGTTGTATGAAAATGTTGCATCAATGCCTGATGAGTATAAGAAGGAGATAAACAAGTAATTATATGGTTAAGTAATGATCTTCATAATAGTTAATTGTTTTTTTTGTTTCCAAAGAGGATCATTGCAATCATAATTTTTCTCGATTCCATTAAATTAGGGTGGAAATGACTCAAATAGTCATGAAACATGAAGTCGTGATTTTAGAAAAAATTAACGAAAAAAAAATACGAGAAAGAAAATTACCGCGTTCGCCTCTTAAACTGGGTTCAAATCGGGTATACACGTATGAAAAAATCGTATAGAAATTCTATAGGATTTCCGTATATGATATTCTGATATTTCTATACGAATATTTTCTATACGAATTATTTCTATACATAAATGTTTACATAAATTCTTGTTTTGCTCAAGTGCATTGCACTATGAGCAATTCCACGTCAAATCCGGAATGGTTTTGAAGGGAAACCAGTTCTTTTCATATATTTTCTATAGAATTTGCTCGACTCAAATTTTATAAGTTTTTTGCATTCTATTTTTCTTTTCTTCTCATCAAGAAAATCAAAGGAAAAAACTTGGAAAATTTGAGCCGGTCACCTCATTTATTGCTTGCAATAATATGAGATAACCTGGTTTGATGGGTGGAACCCAAATTCTTATCTTTACACATTGATAGGCACTGGAAAAAGTTTCAAAATGAGACCAATTGAACTCAATTTACTCGTGTTTTGACGCTGTTATCGTCGAATCAGTTTTTTTTTCTTCAATCAGCAATTACTCGAAAAGCTCATTTTTTAAAAATCTGAAATTTTAGGGGTAAGTTGGGAACATAAGTTCCAATATTTCCACCAAAGGCCAATGAGTTCTTTGCAGTCGTTCCCTGCAAAATGAATATTTTTCTTTTTTCGAAAAATGCTGATATTCTAAAAAAAGCATAAATTACAACAACGATGATCATCATTTGCAAATGATCTGCTATCATTTGGAAGCAGTTCTAGGTGCAGTTTCAGCCCAATCGGTCAAGTAGTTTTTGAGATACAGCAATTTCTCAAAAATCGTTTTCCTCAATATCTCAAAAACTACGTGACCTAATTGAATTTTTTTGACGTCAAAGGATTCCTTATGATAATATCTATCAAATCAAGCCATAGTATCCCTACAAAATTACAGACAGTTTAATGATAATCGGCATTTTTCATTTTTATGATAAAATTGATGTATATACGATAACTCGCGAAAAAATTGAGATAGGATATTGAAATTTCGTGAGATTGTAGCTCTTATGATATTACAGGATGAGCTAGCGAGTAGGCAAAATCGAACGAGTGATTTAGAAGATATTCAACTTCTTGTGAAAAACGGTTTTGCTCAATATCTCCTAAAAAACTGGTCCGATTTCTTTTGCCAATCAACTTTTTTTTTCAAAATACTCGTCTTGCTACCACCTATCGAGATCAATCAAAATATGAATACCCGTCCATACAAAGTTTCCGAGATATTAACGTTTTTCTATTTTTTTTTCATCTGGTAGTGAATTTGACGTCCCGTAATCCGCGTAAAAATTCGAATGAACCTCATAAAATTGTGGCTACTAATCAGTATTATCGGGTCTCCCTTCTGTACAAAATTTTGGATCGACGATTCAGTACAGCATGGCAATTTATCGAAAAATCGTCTTTTCTAAAAAATGACACATCGTCACTTTATCGATGATTGTCGCGTCTGGATGATTAAAAAAGTCATTCAACATTAAATTAAATTTCTATTTTATATCATATTGTTAAATACAAGTCGGTTTCATAATAAATGAATGTTTATTAAAGATTTTGTGGCGAAAAAGATAATAAGAAGAATTACAAAAAGGCGTGACGCGTCCGCGGAATAGGATTAAAGATAAAATCGGATCCATTCGCAAGCTTATTACCAATGGAATTGGTAGAAAAAAAAACTAATAACACATGAAGAAACAGTCACATGGCTTCTGGCGAATAGGAGTTTTACCCTGCTTGTTTTCTTCATGATGGCTCTCAATATGTTCCGTTGGAACACAAATTTATGTTCAATTTCAGCCGATGGATTGGGAAGTTTCTGAAGTATAGCAACTTCTAAAAAATCTTTTTGTATAAATATTTCGAAAACTATTCAACTGATCTATCCATCTAATCTCATCAAAATATAATCGTTCCGACAGGAGACGGTCAATGCTAATCTCATTTTTTCATTTTTTCATTGAAATCGCTTGGGCCCATAAACATTCTAGAAACAATCGCTGTAAAAACTTCAAATTCGGTAGGATTCTACGTCTTATAATAAGCAAATGAGGTTTTTGGAGTAGAATCGGATGAGTAGTTTAGAAGATACAACTTTTGTGCAAAACTATATTTTCCTTGCCATATATACCCTATTCGAGTTTTTACACATTTACGGTTTCATGGGCCGACTTCCTCTCCAACCGTGTCCGCATTGTACCCCACGAGCTGTACCCCACGTACAGACTCTCCTGGTGACCGAGGGAAACCATGGGAAACCTTGGTCGACACGGGCGTCCGTCGACCGAGCTTCATCGGTGTCTAGACTTCTGTTCGACGGTTTCCGAAAGATTAAAAATTCCAATTACCCCAAGCCGGACTCGAACCCGCCGCCTCACTTCGGCCACCGTCGCCGGTTTTTTGTGAAAAACCATTTTGTTCAATAACTCCTCAACTATCACAACCAATCTTTTCAACTCTAATCAAGATTAATCAAAATATGAATATCGGTTCACAAAGAGTTTTCTAGATATTTGCGTTTTTCCAATTTTTTCATTTGAGAGTGAATCTGACGTTTTATAATACGCGTAAAAGTTGGAGTGAACATCTGAAATTTGGGCTAATAGTTAGAATTATAGGGTCACACTTGTGTATAACATTTTGAGTCGATCAATTCAGCACATCCTAGCATAGAGCCATGCATCTAAAAGTGTGTTTTCCAAAAAATGACAAATCCCCATTTAATTAATGACTTTCGCATCTGGATGACTAAAAAGTTATAGAACATGAAATTTTGTTCTCTATTTTACGGGATGTCAATATTGTTTAAAATATGTCATAGCTGTGATAGAGCCAGGGGATGTGGTTTATACCAAGAGGTGTAAATCTGTGATGAATCCCTATTATATTTTAAATTGAAATCGCAATTTTTTATTTAAAGAATGTATTGTTACGGATCTATTCAGAAACTTACCACAATGGAATTAATAGGAATAAAAAAATGGCTAAGATGGCATAAGGAAATGGTACAATGACTTCTGTTCGGTCGGCACGGTAATGCCGTGCTTGTGTTAAATATATATCGAGAGGAAGAAAGTGACAGGATAATAATAACACCGAAATTCGATAAACGCTTGATATCCGGATAGAAATTCTTCAGAAAAATTCTAGTAAGTGAAATTTCTGGGAAAATTTCGGAGGATTTCTGTGAAAATTTCATATGAATACGAAAAGATTCATGTGCTACCCCCTAAAATTTTCAGGGCTAGCACAAGAATTTTTCCTTGGCCATCAACTTGTCCTTTTTCCTGCCACCACTAGAATCTTGCTGAAGAATTTCTCTCCGTGTGCCGGTCGCATGTAAATGGTCGCTTACTTTTGTTATAATTGATGATTATGGAAGTGCGGGAGTATCCAAATGAGATAGTCCTGAACCCACTTACAGATCATTCTGCAAATATCTCCCAACCGAAGTAGTTAATCTTTCAGCAAAAAAAATCGATTCACGACAACCAACAAACCCTAACATCTATATTCAAAACTTCCTGTTTCGAAGATATTTGTAGTATAATTTAGATGCACTCTATGAACTCATACCCTGATCTCACTTTAATTCACTTGTGAGTCGATTTTATAATGGCGGGAAAATTATAAGTACATATTTAAGGATTTCCGTGATGGCTTTAGAAACCTCGGATGTGAACCTGACCTCATAGACTCCGCAGAATTTTCTCCTCAGCACAGACCGCGGTATTACTGGACTAACGTTCCCATGGCTTATTATACACCTTTTGTCAAAGATCTTCAAGATGTACTGACACCAAACTGCAATCGACACGCTTTAGTCAAGAAGATTCGTACTGTCACCACTCAATTAAAGTCATTGAAACAGGGTAAGTCCCTCTTACTGTTCTGATTTTTCTTATGAATTCGTCATTCGAACGGTCATTTATAGGTTCGAGAGCCCTAAAGCCAGTGATAATGGATGAAGTATACGATTGCCTGTGGACAACGGAATTGGAAGAAATTTTTGGATTTCCACGACATTACACAGACGTGAAAAATCTAAGCGCAACCAAGCGACAAAAATTGATAGGTCAAGCTTGGTGTGTTAGAACTATTAGCGAAATCTTGAGGCCTTTGAAACACTATTTTGTATTCGATGAAGATGGTAATTGATTAAATTGAAGGATCATATGATCTCTTGATTAAATTAGGGATTCATATCTTTCTGAATTGATCAATTGAAAATGACCCTAAAGTTTGCAGAAAATAGTGTTTAACTGCGGCATCTCGCGAGTGAATTGCCGATTGGAACATTCCAAATTTTTGTTTCGTCAAGCGTGAAGAAATTTAAAGTAGTATGGTCACGGATCGATTTCTAAGATTAAAATGTGAAATAATTTTTTTATGAAAGTTAATATCAATAAAAACCTCCTGGTGAAATTTGTGGTACATTGATCGTTTAGTATAGTTGATAAGAATTAATGAAAAACTAGATTTTAACACAGAGTCTTATCGGCAAATCACATTTTTGGGTGGTTTTTATGATAAATCCAAGATGAAATTATAAAAAAAATACAAAAAAATGGGAAAAAACAACAAAACTTTACGATCATCGATGAAAATTATTGACCGTTTGGGACTTTAGTTATAAATAATTTCTGCTCCTCGGTGTTCGGAAATTGCGTGTCGAGTAGATGCGGCAACGACGCGTTAGTGGAGTGGGGACAAGCGGGCATTTCAAATCTCGTTTTCCCTACTCTGTTAAGTTACAGCGTTGCCACATATAAAACGACGCTAGTCAAAGGAGGTACATTATTTGACTAATAAGTGAAAAATAATGAAAATAATCAATAAATAATTCTTATATTCATAAATTTTATAATTCATAAAGAGAATTTTCAATTATAAATCATAGTTTTTTGATTAATTTTTTTAGATTTTCTAGACGGACAGTCAACGATTACTTTGGAGAGTGACCATACTACTTTAACCCCTCACGGACGGGGCTCTTTTGTTTCCAAGCGTGGAGTACGCTCGATACAAGTAAAATGTAGTGACTTCTAATCAACGGACAATTATGAAACCGATATGTAACTGAAATTACAGTATTCCTTTTTTCGTTGTTATTTGTTTGGTTGAGTTAAATTCCATAGTTTTGGAAATAATCAATTTCAAAGAGAGTCATTCATATTTTCATGGGTCGATGCATAGCATCGATCCCGTACATGAGGGGTTCATTGCAATGATGACCGAAAATGTGAATATATGGATTAGAAGGTGATTTTTTTCAAAAGTAATGTTGGAAAACCATTAACGTGACATATCCCGCTTCGGAATTAATTCATTTGAAAAAAACAGTCACGGTTTAACCTGTATAAAATCTAATTGTGATTTTTTTCCATTTTATTTTCTATTTTGGGGGGGCAAAAGGGTATTTATTACGTTGCAAAAGACCAGTCACAAGTCATTTCCATTGTGAGAAAGTCACTCTCATTATCTATTGAGTTTTATTGAATTCTCCACTTTATTATTTGGAGCTCTGGAAAAGCCCAGTTGGACCTGAAAAGAATCATTTTCTTCTAAAGAATTCAAAAAAGCTACCAGAGACAAATGAATTAGTCTTGTCATTTAAGAATGCTGAATGAAACAAGTTAAGGATGTTTATCCAAAATCCCAAGTATACAAAAAAATTGATTTTTTTTCAACCGAGAGATGAAAGTATCCCCTTTATCTTGATAAAAATTTCAATCCGCCGACCCACGTTTATTATTTAGAAATGTAGTGGACAAAATGCATCAAACGCATGAGCTAACATGCGCTCCCATATAAATGGGATAAAATCTTTTAAATACTTCCTCCTTTTGCGAGGGTACCCCAAATTTTTTTTTGGTCATTCGAAGGCTCCTGATATAAACCTCCCACTCGCCAAAAAACACTTTTTTGCAGCCGTTACGAAATATACTATTTTAACATTAAACAAGTTCGTTTCATATGCTTTGCTATCAGCCAAATAAATTACGGGTTTTTGTACAGTGTCATGGTAAAAAACTGCGGTTACCGACAGTTGCCCAGCCCTGACCAGTGGCTACCCATCAATAGCCAAACAATCAGATCTCTGACATACCGATTAGCACGGTAAGTCGCATCTTGCAGGAAACCTGTTCTTTTCATACAGTAGCGGCGTTACTGTGACAGCAGATACCGAAACGTCAATCCAACGGTATTTCCATTTATCTAATTTCAATTTCCGACACAAATTCTGTTACTCCTTGGAATTTACTAGCTCACTAAATAAATGAAGGAAAACAGTACCTTGAACCAGCAGAAGCTAAAGCGTTGTACAATCATGACAGAGGTTAGAGGATCTATAAAAACGTGAAGGAAAACTGAATTTCAAGTAATAATAAGTCATCTTTTTTTTTATATGATAACAGATTCAACAAGTGGAGGACAGTCTAAAGGACTCTTTACATAGAGTGGAAGTGATCGAAAGAAAATTAGAAACTCGCCTCTTGACAACTGAGAGTCGAGAAAGATTGGAACGAGAACTGGAGCTAGTGAAGGAGGTCCTGAAAAAAAATCAAGAACAATTGCTTCATCTCAGGAAACAAAACACGAAATCTTTTATGATGGCCGCAGCATTGGCCTTCGCTTGTTTTTTATTCTATGGACTGTATCTTCTTATTACAAATACAAGGTGATGAGTAATTATCTCCAGACAATTTAAACGAACATAGGGGTAATAAAGTAAATAATGGACCAATATTTATATTCTTGGATTATATCAACTTTGAGTATTCAATAAACTTTAGTATTTTTTTCATAAACTCTTGATAATATCAATGTTCTCAGTGTTTCACTCCTTTTATTTACTTTGTTTCAACGAGAATGTCGTACTGTGGACTCCCAGCTAGGCGACTTCTCATATATTTTGCGTGGATTTCTGGATCCAAGTAGCTAACTTTGACACCTGGATCGTCTTTCATTGCAGATTTCCATTGAAGCTGAAAGTTGAAAAAATAAAAAATATGTGAATTCAGTAAAATGTGAATGCAGTAAAATTTTCTCAATTATTACGGCAGTTGAAATGTTGAATTAAGTTGTGATTACGAAATTATCCGGCGAATCAGTGGTTTCGAGAGAATTTTCTCAAAAGACTTCACAAGTTTCTGTAAAATTTTCTCCTTAAATCACTTGTTTTCAAAATGTAAGCATAATTGTCAGAAGTTGTACGTTTGATTTGAACATATTCGAGTCCTGAATTAATTGAATGAGAATTATAATGAACCAACCAGTCTGAGGAAACGTTCACGTGGAATGGCATACTGCTCCCCCCTGATAATTCTGATGAGATCAGCTCTCTCACACCAGGGCCAGATCATCAAGTCCAACATCCCAGGCTTGTTTCCACCGAAAAAAGGTGTTCCTCTTGTTCCCAATTCTCTGTCGAATATTTCTAATCCTTTCAAGGCCTCCTCGAACAATTCCCGGTCAACAAAAGTCTCCAAATACAGCTGGAGAAGTAATGAAGGGATACAATTTATCGTTGCACAATTTGAAAATTAAAAATCTGATTGCTGATTGAAATAAGTGACTCAATTAATTATGAACAGTAAAATATTCAATTGTTGTTGACGAATCGAGATGACACAATCAAATTTGAAAATAATTTATCCACAAATGTCTCTGAATCTGGAAAAAATAAAGATATTTTCCTTGAGTAAAGAGAGTTACAAAAATATCTGTATACTAATTTCGCCATCACCTTTGAAATTTGAGATATTCTAAAAAAATACCTCGATGAAAAATCTACTTATTTCTTTCTATCACTTCGTTACTGCATCCACAGCAGATTTTGACATAATCATAATATTTAAATACACTTATTTTATGGCATATAAATTCAATTAATAAAATTGAAAGAATTTACATTATTAGATTCATCAATAATCAGTGGATTCAAATTTTGGATTACATTATCAATCAGCTATCGCCTCTGAAGACTGTTTATTACTTGGTTAATCGAAAATTAGTTAAAGAAATACAATTATTTATTTAATGAAAAATCGACGGCTTTAATTACTCATTATATTGAGAATATTCATGTCTTAAAGAAGATTGACCAACTTCAATTACTTGGGTAATTCTCTCCAAAAATATCACTAAGACAATGATCACTACCGATCTCTAGTCCACAGAAAAAAAAAGTCGCTTGTTCAAACTCACGGTTCTCCAAGGTATGACCCTCAAAAACAGTTTACTTAGCTTTAGTAGAAACATCCCTACAATTCAGGACTAAAAATCCACGTATTTGAAGCCCGAAAAATCCTTCAATTAAGAATCTTTGCATTCTTGAACTAAAAGCACTCGAAACAAAAAGATTTGCAAATAATTAGAATTCAATTGAATATTAATTTAGTCACCAGGTGATATACTTTCAATAATAACGGCATTATGTATCACATTAAAATAACATGTTAAGTTCAGAGATATTGTGAAAAATACTTTTAGAATCAATAAATTAATTTACGAACCGCATGGTTTTTATTTTCAGAATTCCGGAAGCTTAACCCTATAAGGTGAATTTCAATATCCCGACTCTATGGCCACCAAAGCGGAATACTAGCGTCCCCACTCGAGCGTCCTACTACGCTTTTTACCTTAGAGGGTTAAAATAGGAGAGAATGTGGCTTAATTTAACTACAGTGATACTTGATTTCAGTGAAAATTACAGCGAATCAGAACTTTACTAAATTAAATATATGAAACATAGAGTTGAATTCAGGATTTATGCTCTCTAGATTTCAGTACGACAGAATTTTAAAATTCAAAGATTCTTGCTGGAAACAAAACATTTTTCTCAGTGATGAATATCACATTCGTACCTATGTGCGAGCAGCTACCCAAGATTTGTTAAATATGAATGAATCTGTTAACACATTAATGAAATACCTTATACATCAATGAGATGACACCGTTGAACCTCTCAATCAGTAACTTGTCCTTAGCTTTGAGAAGGGGATCATCAGGGTAGAGATTACTCTGTGAATAAGCCTCATTGAGATAATCAGCGACTATCAGGCTTTCGTATAAAACATCACCGTTTGGAAATTCGATGCAAGGGACTTTCCCCAGCGGACTCTTCTCCAGGTACCAGTCCGGCTTGTTGCCCAAATTTATCAGCACTACATCGTATCTGTGGTGTAGAGGTTTTTTCATTAAAACTTTTCACAGCGATAGTTTTTCAATGAGTAACGCAAACATAAGCTTTTCTGTTAAGGATTGATGTAAGCATCTTTTTTACAAGAGTAAATTTTTTTATGGTCAAATGCCATGAAACTTTGGCAAAACGTTATTTGAACTATTATAAAATGATCGATCTATCGCTCGGCTCTTCGTCATATTGTCAATATCGATTTTTTTGGTTTTTTATGTTTTAGTTGATATCGACAATATGACAAAGAGCTAAGCGATAGATCGATCATCTTGTAATGGTTAAAATAACGTTTTGCCAAAGTTTCATGGCATTTGACCATAAAAAAATTTACTCTTGTGAAAAACTCCCGNGGGGGGGGGGGGGGGGGGGGGGGTCTAAAATGTCCAAGAAACGCGTAACGTAATATTTGAATGCTCCCAAAATAATTTTTTGACGTGGATACGTATATAGTTTCAATATGGGGGGGTCATTTTGGGAAACGGTCCTTATGTGCAGTGCCATCTATCGGAAGTCTAGAAAATTCTAGACATTTCGAGGTAATTCGAGAAGTTTCTTGAAATTTCGAGGAAATTCAGGGAGTTTTTAGAAAATTCAAGAGAATACAAAGAGTTTCTAGGAGATTCGAGAAAGAAGGAAAGACCATGAACGTATCCACGTACAATTACAGCTGTATCGAAGATAAAGCCTGCAATTTCTTCTATGAAATGTCAAGAATTTAAAAAAAAAGTTCCTAACTGCGAAGCAGGCGTTTGGGTATTTCTCCCCGGCGTCATTTATTTCTGAGATAATTAGGCCATTAACAAAGATTCCCTTTTCGGTTCATTCCATTTGACTACGGCAATACATAATTCAATAGCTAAACAATAAAACGACTTAGCCCTTAGCTGAGTTTTCGAGTTATATCTCCGAATCTGAAGAAGATAACGAAATTTTCGTAATGAATTTTTCTGCAGAGCGTATTGAGAGCTACAAAAAAGGTGATGACAACAATTTTGCTATCTCTCCTAGAGTTCGAGATATTGAAAACTGGTCAATAGTTAAAATCTACTTGAACCGTTTTCCCGCGTCATTGCTGAATTTTTCAATTGATTTGTTGAACTCACGGAATTTTTTTTTGATCCAATATCAAATGAACCCTCTGAGCATAAGGACAGAATCTCATACTGTAGACACGTAGTTTTCCAGGCTGAAGGGGAGGGGCTTCGCTGCCTAAACACATGAACAGGTGTGACTCATGTAATTAACTTATAAGATTTGTGTGAATTAAGATTGAAAGAATGAGGGAATCACCCTTTGCTCACCCTTTGTCAAATGAGCTGAGTTCATAATGCGAATTTGTCTATTAGATGTCGTTGGAGTGCAAAACACCGGCAGCTGCGAATACAATTTGTAAGGACGCTTCGTCAACTAGTGAATAATGGTCGATCGAAAAGCCCTCACTGCTAAGTATTTGTCTATACTAAATTATTATTATCTGTTACTGAACTGTAGTAGTTCAAACTTAACTTTCTATCGTTAAATATGTTTGGAATTGTGACCTTGGTGTGAACGTGTCAATGAGGTTCTACCATTGCATGGCCACTTGGATTCCAAAAAGTCGGAAAGGTGGAGATCATGTCAATCTATGTCGAATGACGACTGATAGGCTTGGAAATGTCTTTATCGACCGAGGCTCAGTCCAGTGGATAGTGAAAAATGGTATCTCCGTCTGGGACAGTGGTGTGACCCTATATTTAGACGGCCGGAACATTCCGTTAAGGGGTAGCCAGAATGCCACCGTTTCCCTGAAATTTTTAAACAAATTTCCTGCGCAAAGTTATTAATATTTTTGGCATCCAAAGCACATTGATCTTCATCATCGCCTTCTGGAAATTAATGTGCTTTGATTTGTAAAAATATCGATAACTTTCGGCAGGAAATTTGTTCAAAAATTCAAAAAATTAAGGGCGTTCTGTTACCCCTCAAGTTTATAACACTAGAGAATAATAACAAAATCATCGTTTTATATCCGTTTTTTTAATATTTTATTCATTGAAGTTTAGTGATTCATTTATTCCCCTCCAGTTGCAAGCAGGGATAGCCAAATCCATAATATTTCATTACCGTTGAATAATGTAGCCGTCAATTAGTTAACATCAGTCTTAATTTTCTTCATTATTTAAGTATCATCAATTCAAATATTCAAATTTTGAATTATTTTATCAATCATTAATTGAGGTAGCACAATTGATTATTTGTGTAATCGAAAAATCCCCCTTTCAAGAAATTTGAATTATCCACTCAGTGGCAAATTTACAGTTCCATATTATCCAATTTTTAATTAAACCTTCATTGATGTAAGGGGGAAATTCTTATCATATTATAGAAATTTAATATTGATGGTAATCCCTGGTTGTAAGGGACACAATGATATTCGTAATTTTTTAATTTGTGTAAGATTTTAAATTTGAATAATTTGTATTGAGATACACTGCAAGAAAATTTCTTTGAAAAGATCTTTGGCAGAAGAATTCAACCCAACGTGAGTATCCTTTCGATACTCATGTTCGTCATCGGATCCCAAAGTAAAATTCTCACTAAAAGTCCCATATTTGTTGGATTTTAATCAACTTCATTTTCTCAAATTTTCCACATAATTTTAGAATTAAAAATCAGAAGCCGGTAGGGGTGGGTTGAAGCAAGTGTGGTTCCCTAAGGTCCGGACCAATAACTTCCCGACCAATTCCTTTTTTTCTATTCATCACAGAGAACAAGAGTATATGCTTTTCAATCAGTGTTTTATTTGTAGTTGAATTACTGACGAACTTCTGGGTCAATATCTTCCAAAATTTAGCAATCGAAAAAAATCAAATCACATTATTTTGCATGAAGTAATCATATAATTTATGAAAAACTATCATTCCAATGTTTTGCTGATTTATTAAGAAACTGAGGAATCGCTGAGTCATTTTTCTAAAATTTAATCATGTGTATTTCATATGAAGACGCATCAATTGCAAAAAATTTTATACTGGCTAGCTGCAGTTACTCGAGCCCTGGAAAATTTACCTGAATTATGCCTTTTTAACTTCCCCGGATAGGGAAATTATTGTAGGGGAGGATGGGGCAAAACGGCCCCCCTTCAATCGTCAATATTTTCCGATTCAATAATCGGATTGGGATGAGTTAGAGCTCGTTTTGAAGAATGAAAAATTATCTTCAAAATGAAGTTAAAACTGGGAACTTTCACAATGTCATTCACAAGTTATTGACAATTGAAGGGGGGCCGTTTTGCCCCACCCTCCCCTAATCACTCCGAAAATCGAAAATACGTTTTTTCACCATATCTCCACGTTTCCAACGTATTCCCAATGGTTCTGGACCATTTTCGGAAAAATGTCTGTACATACAATTTTTCCTCAACGATTTCTCCCAAACGAATGGTCCGATTCGATTTTTTTAACCGATGCGTCTTTATGTAACTTAGACCTGATTCGATTTTGGATGGAATCGATCCACCCACTCCAACCCCCCCCCC